AGCGAGTCTCCTGCCTCCGCCTCCCAAGTAGCTGGGACCACAGGCGCCCGCCACAACGCCCGGCTATTTTTTGGTTGCAGTCGTCATTGTTGTTTGGCGGGTCCGGGCTGGGGATTTGAACCCGCCACCTTAGGTGTACGTGGCTGGTGCCTTAGCCGGTTGAGCCACAGGCGCCGAGCTGTGAGTTAAGATTTGTCAATAACTATTAACAGGATATCTCTGAAATTTCCCAAGTATTTGACTGTATCCTTTCCACTGAGCCAATTACTTTACATTTTCTTCCTAAGGCAGTTTGCTCCCCATGTAAGCAAAGAATTTTGAGGTTGTTCTCACATCTCATATTCAGATCCCCACTAAGTGAAATCATTTGTTTCTTCTTTGTGTCTTATTATTATACTTTTCCACCTGATTGCCACATTGGTCTTTTTCTCCTGGTTTCGCTGCACTTGTGGTTCACTGTCTCTGCAGAAGCAGCAGAGGGCGCCGCTCAGAGGCTTTCCTGTTCCTTGAAGCTGAGGTGCTGTCCCCTCCCACACTCCCTTTTCCCATCCTTGGTGGGAATCCCAGTTCTTTCTTTGGGTGGGGCTGTGGAAGTATCACCTGACAGATGGAAATAATTGTTGGGCTAGTTATTTTAATAAGGTTAAAGATAGTAAATAGGACCAACCACCTTATCCTAATTAGTGTAAACATAATGTTGCTCTCAAGATTTTCACATGGTAATTAGCACGATGGAAGATGCACTCTGCAAGACTTTGGATTGTCTTTTGTTCTATCATATTTTTGTGCCACTGATTTATTTCCGTTTTTGGAGCAGTTGTCATTGTTGTTTACCCGGCCCAGGCCAGTTTCAAACCCACCACCTTCGGCGTATGTGACTGGGGCCTAGCCACTGTGCTATGGGTGCCAAGCCCCACTGATTGACTTCTGAAAACACAGAAAATTCTCCTACTATTTCTCCATTTAAAACTTACTTGAAAAACTGAGAGTGTTATTGGTTGTTAAGTTCTTGAGCTTGGAGTTGAGAAGAGATGTCTGTCACCACTTTGTTTCCTCTAGGTCTTATGAGGATGGTGTTAATGTAGTCGATTTTCAGATGGATTGATTGATTGACTTGGGCTCAAGTGATCTTTCTGCCTCAGCCTCCCGAGTAACTGGGGCTACAGGCATCCACCACAATGCCAAGCTCTGCCTCTACTCAGAGTCAATTTAATAATGCCTTTTAGGGAGAAAATTTTTCATTACAGATTTATGTTATTGTAAGAAGCTTTTAATTCTGAGTTGAAATATGTGGATTTCATTGGTTCTTTAAATCTTTTAGGTTATAGATACCTTTGAAAATGTAGTGTGCACTCTGGAACCTGGCCTCAGGAAAAGTCAACCTTCCCAAGACTTTGCCTGCAGTTCCTGAAGCTCTTCTGCAGATGCTGGAGAAATCGGTGGCCCTGACATGAAGGCCACTCCCTGCCAGCCTGTCCTGGCCATGGCTGACATGAAAAGATGGAGATTATTGATTGCTATGAGGCATTTAAAGTTTTTTTGTTCTCTTCTCCAGGGCTTATTGACTATAATTTTCATTGCTTTCGGAAGGCCATCCATGAAGTTTTTGAAGTGAGAATGAAAGTAGTGAAATCTCGAAAAGTTCAAAGTCGGCTGCAGAAGGGAAAAGGAGCAACCGCCAATGGGACCCCAAGAGTGCTGCTGTAGGTGAGGTTTCGGGAAGCCAGGACTTCTCAGTGAGGCTGCTGCACCATGCTACCCTACAGGAAGAGAAAGGAGGAGATGGGACACATAGCACGGATTAAAAAATTCCTGAAACCCTCTTGATCTTTTCTTTTTTAAATAAAGTAAGCACTTTGAAGCAAAAACTTGTATATTAACAGTGAAGTGAAATCCACTGTACTTTCATTACACAAATGTAAACTTTTATGCTCTGCAGTCAGAGAACTGTCATGTGAGAACTGTCAGGAACTGTACATATTTTGCACTTTTTCATGTTTTTTCACATTGAACTGAACTTTGATAAAAGGACTTTTCTAAGCTTTTTTCTGTACTTGGTGTCAAGGACATGCACACTGCAGTCCATATCTGTCACTACATGGCATCAGAAATTAATCAGAAAGCAATGCATTGGGAATGACTTTTTGTAAATTTGGGACTTTTTGCTACCAATTGCTGAGAAAAATCATCTTTCAGCAAAGCTGGAACAGATTGGGGCTGTAAGCTTCACAAGCAATAAGAACTGTCCTCTATTTATAATGCGTGTAAACAGTTTTGTAGAATAATATTAGCACCAGACTTAACTAAAAATTTCTATAGCCATGGCTGTTCTTTCCTGCTCAGCAGTTTTTATGAAGCCCTTTACCTCAATGCACATCTCCATAATCACTTTTTACAGAGAGATTATTTCTTTCTGCTGCATTCTTTAGAACTTTTGGGACCAGATTTCCAAAATGGAAATGGTGCCAATCACTGGAGAGAAATAAGAATGTCACTGAATTGCAGAGTTTCTGGACGATTTTCTATACCTGCTAATCCAGGCCCAGATGTATGTGATTGGGCCTGGATTAGCCCAGGATATACACAGATTAGCCCGGAATATATACATTTCTGGATGTTTGGCTCCTGTGAAACGGCCTGTTATGCTACATTAAAAATGCTTGTTTAAGGCTGGGCGGGGAAGCTCATGCCTGTAATCCCAGTACTCTGGGAGGCCAAGGCGGGTGGATTGCTTGAGCTCAAGAGTTCAAGACCTGCCTGAGCAAGAGTGAGACCCTATCTGTAAAAAATAGCCAGGTGTTGTGGTGGGTGCCTGTCGTTCCAGTTATTCAGGAGGCTGAGGCAGGAGGATCACTTGAGCCCAAGAGTTTAAGGTTGCTTTGAGCTATGACGCTACTGCAACTCTTACCCAGGGTGACAGAGTCAGACTCTATCTTAAAAAAAAAAAAAAAAAAGCTTATTTAGGACCATTTTTATTGCTCCATGACCACAGTGAATGGAGCAAACCTCAGACTGCACTGTGGAGCTTAATCCTGTTGGTCTCATTTGTCCCTCCCAGGCTCCTTTTCATCTTCTTTATCCTTTTCTCACCCTATGATTGGCCTAGGGCTCAGCTTGCCGCCAGCATGCTCTGCAAGGCCGAAGAGCCATCATGAAAGCCCATGATGGTGGGAAGTGGGGAAAGGGTGGTGAGAGGAGGCACTACAGTTAGTGTGTAACTGTTTCTGTGAAATTCTGTCACCTAATGTTTACTTTAGCAGGAAATTCAGAGAACTGAATCCACTCATGCCACATCATTCTGAGTAGATAATTCTACGTCTGTTGTAAGGGTAAGCATCCCTAAGGAATGCTTGTGAGACATTAGCAAATAAATTTTTAAAAGCAGAGCCTCCTAGGGATATCAAAGCTGGTTCTAGTGAAATACAAGAAATTCTAAAGCGTCTCGCTTGTCCTTGAAGCTTTCTTACTTCTGTCAGTGGCTTCTTTTTGTCCTCTCTTCCCTACCCCCAAGTCCTACTCCTTTGAAGCTGATAACTGAAATTTAAGATGGCATCTGATTAGGGTTTAAGGTTTGAGTATGTGCATTTTGATAGATGTCTAGGCGAGTGCCGTGGCTCATGCCTGTAATCCCACCACTCTCAGAGGCTGAAGTGGGTGGATTGCTTGAGCTCAGAAGTTTGAGACCAGCCTGAACAAGAGCTAGACCCTGCCTCTACTAAAAATAGAAGAAACTTGCTGGTGTGGTGGTGCACATATGTAGTCCCAGCTACTTGGGAGGCCACGGCAGGAAGATCGCTTGAACCCAAGAGTTTGAGGTTGCTGTGATCTATGATGATACCACTTTAACCCAAGGTGACAGAGTGAGACTCTGTCTACAAAATAAAGAATGGAAGTCAGGCTCGGCGCCTATAGCTCAACCGGCTAAGGCGCCAGCCACGTACACCTAAGGTGGCGGGTTCGAATCCCCA